GTGTGTGTGTGTGTGTGTGTGTGTGAACCTCATACCCATCCTGTGTGTGTGTGTGTGAACCTCATACCCATCCTGTGTGTGTGTGTGTGTGTGAACCTCATACCCATCCTGTGAGTGTGTGTGTGTGAGCCTCATACCCATCCTGTGAGTGTGTGTGTGTGAACCTCATACCCATCCTGTGTGTGTGTGAACCTCATACCCATCCTGTGTGTGTGTGTGTGAACCTCATACCCATCCTGTGTGTGTGTGTGTGAACCTCATACCCATCCTGTGTGTGTGTGTGTGTGAACCTCATACCCATCCTGTGTGTGTGTGTGAACCTCATACCCATCCTGTGTGTGTGTGTGAACCTCATACCCATCCTGTGTGTGTGTGTGAACCTCATACCCATCCTGTGTGTGTGTGTGAACCTCATACCTATCCTGTGTGTGTGTGTGTGTGTGTGTGTGTGTGTGTGTGTGTGTGTGTGTGTGTGTGTGAACCTCATACCTATCCTGTGTGTGTGTGTGTGAACCTCATACCCATCCTGTGTGTGTGTGAACCTCATACCCATCCTGTGTGTGTGTGTGAACCTCATACCCATCATGTGTGTGTGTGTGTGAACCTCATACCCATCCTGTGAGTGTGTGTGAACCTCATACCCATCGTGTGAGTGTGTGTGTGAACCTCATACCCATCCTGTGAGTGTGTGTGTGAGAGAACCTCATACCCATCCTGTGTGTGTGTGTGTGTGAACCTCATACCCATCCTGTGTGTGTGTGAACCTCATACCCATCCTGTGTGTGTGTGTGTGAACCTCATACCCATCCTGTGTGTGTGTGTGTGAACCTCATACCCATCCTGTGTGTGTGTGTGTGTGTGTGTGTGTGTGTGTGTGTGTGTGTGTGTGTGAACCTCATACCTATCCTCTGTGTGTGTGTGTGAACCTCATACCCATCCTGTGAGTGTGTGTGAACCTCATACCTATCCTGTGTGTGTGTGTGAGTGTGTGTGAACCTCATACCTATCCTGTGTGTGTGTGTGTGTGTGAACCTCATACCCATCCTGTGAGTGTGTGTGAACCTCATACCTATCCTGTGTGTGTGTGTGTGAACCTCATACCCATCATGTGAGTGTGTGTGTGAACCTCATACCTATCCTGTGTGTGTGTGTGTGTGTGTGTGTGTGTGTGTGTGTGTGTGTGAACCTCATACCTATCCTGTGTGTGTGAACCTCATACCCATCCTGTGAGTGTGTGTGAACCTCATACCTATCCTGTGTGTGTGTGTGTGAGTGTGTGTGAACCTCATACCTATCCTGTGTGTGTGTGTGTGTGTGAACCTCATACCCATCCTGTGAGTGTGTGTGAACTTAATACCCATCATGTAAGTGCGTGTCAATGTCAACCCCATACCCACCCTGTGAGGGGTAGTGGCAGGTCTCACGGGGCACATAATGGGCTCGGGAACAGAACCCCCAAAACTAATTTTGCTAAGCACGCGACAGTCTTAATACCCCCAACAACTTAGCTTAGTGTTCGTAACAACATCTGCGATGAGTTAAACCTAACGTGGTTAGCTTCTGCATCCATGGTATAACACATGATTTGTTTTGGAAGAGGGTAAGCAGAGAAGGAACGAGAGAGAGAGAGAGAGAGAGAGAGAGAGAGAGAGAGAGAGAGAGAGAGAGGGAGAGGGAGAGAGAAAGGTTAAGGGGCAGTGGGGTGGAGCTCGTTAGGGAAGTTGAGGCATATCCTGAGGGGAAATGGGAGAGAGGGGAGAGAGGGTGACTGCAGCCCTCATGAGTGAGGGGCACTCATTACCACGGTGGGGACCCCTCACACCATCAAGGTCGGGCTGGTGGAGACAGCAGGAGAGAGAGAGAGCTTTTCCCTACCACAATCATGGCACTACAACTTTCAGGTCTTTGTGAATTTGTTAGGTCGGTGAGATCTTCATTAGATATTTGTTTAAGTATTCTCTTTGTCACTGCTAATGAAACACCCATATCAATTTCTATCACTGGTTTTCTACAGGCTGTCTTAGCAAGCATATCAACAGTGTCATGCCTTGAGATGC